CACATCACTCATCAACAAAGGAATGGACTGACTAGAAGTTGCAGTTTCCATTACAGCATGAGATGTTGTAACAGCCATAGTTGGAGACGAGGAAGAAGTGGCGGTAGGAGACACTGTGGAAGCTATGGCAGCAGAGGTAGACGCAGTAGAGGCCGCCATGACGGTGGAAATATTGAGGAAGGCAAAAAGCTTAGAATGGAGAAATGGAGTTTACCGGAGAAGGAAGAAGCCAAGAAACGCAGAAGCAGAAAACGAAAAGACTTGGGCGCCAAGAAGAAAAGCAGTGAATGTGATTTTACCCTAGGGTAAAAAGAAAAAGAAGGGGTTTTAATGGGCTTGAGATGAAATGGGCCTGTAATTCAAGGTGAAATTCAAATCAAATAAAAATGGCCGCCAGGATATTTTAACAACAATGTGAGCACGCGCCGTCAATGTCATTAATGTCACATCAAACGGTCATTTGCATTAAATGTAGATCAGGGTATGAGTCAGAATAGGTTCTCATCGAGAAAATATGAAATTTGATTGGGTACTCCGATAAATAATCGAAAAACCACGTTTGATAGGAATTCAAATCTTTTTTCCCAGCTAGCACATCAAGATTGAATTCCTAGGGGGCATTTGTTGAGGCTACTCGAAAACCAGGGAAATCGAAAGATGTACTTATAAAGCTAGTCGAAAGATGGAGGAGGATGAAAACCTGTCTGGAACGTATTAGGAGTTTTATGTATTCATGTTAGAAATATAGTCGAAAACTTCGAAGCATATATAAAACTTCTCGGAAAATTGAGATTAACCCCTGCCAATAGTTGATTTGAGATCGAAGACAATTATTTCGAGTTGAACAATGCTCGAGACTTGGTGAAGCTGTGTGAGTACTTATGACCATACAAAGACAATTAGCGTCCAAGTCGAGAGGTTAGTATACGCGAAGAACGGTTATGAGAAGTTACACTTTAGAAGCCACCTAATGAGCATAATGGGTAGCGTTTATCTCATAGTGGCCTACGTGCACGAACGTTTGAGTGAGTTAACCGTCATTGATTCACTCTATAAAATCAAGAAGCCTGCATTGTCACAAGGTCAGAAAACTTCATACTAAAACTACACTCTGAAGCACTCTCTGCCTGCGCTATGGCTTTCGTGCATGGAATTGTTTTTGGGTATGATTCCTTCTCGGCCATTTTCATTTTCGTTTTATAGGAGTAGAATTAGCGTAGTTTCTTGTTTTTAATCTTGTAATGTTCAATCATCATCAACGTTATATTGTTTTAAACCTTGCAAAAGTGAACCATGATCTGTATTGCAAATATATATATCGTTCATTCTGTTTATTTAAGGATTTACTTTCATGAATTTTATTACTTGTTGGTCATTGATGAATATTTGGAAACAAGTAGCTTTTAAATCGTTCTACTCCATCTCGTTATACTCTAAATATCTCAAACCGAAACATGCCTAAATTGAAACGCGTGTAGTGCTAGTTCGAGTAAAAAGAATCCATAAACCGAGTTTCACCGTAAACAACTGACTAATATCCTTTCCTAAAAGTTTATTTTACTTATTTTACATAATAATAAATATCACATAAAATTCTTTAATTATTAGTTTTATTAACATAAAATTTATCTCCTAATATTTTTATTGGTCAAAATAACTACATAACACTTAATTGATATTAAATATCTGATTCAGTTTGTCTCATTGTGGATAATCTTAAAGTTTATTTGATGGTCTCGACATATATGATAAAATAGAATAGGTTAAATAATATTTTTGATTATTTATCTTATTTTATTATATTTATTTTATTTATTTCTCTATTAAAATGTTTATTTGGTTCTTCATCTTTTATATTAATTTGAATGAATTTGATTTTTTAAAATAATAATTATTTTTAATTTTATGACATGATTTTTAATTAAATTTTTATTGATTTAAAATGTGAAAGTTGTAATATTAGATTCACTTATATGAAATTAAAATTGTTCTGATGGGAATATGCAAGTGTTCCAATAGCAAGGATGACGTCCTTGTTGCTTCAATATTCACGACAGTGGGGGACACTTGGAAAGATACTCTGACACTAAAGTTAGAGAGAAGTCTAGGTTAAGAATAATATTAACGTTTTTGTAATACTTGATACCTCATATAAGTGGTATATAGTTTTGCCTGATTTTAAGAGATAATGTTGCATAATATTTGTTGATACACTTTTGTGATTGTGTGGTGTTTAATGAATATAATATTTTCCAAGATTTTTGAAGATATGGTATGAGGATTCCTCCTATCAATTGTGTTATGGATTTAATGTGGCAAGCTGACAGAGTTGCTTGGCTAGTCTGAGCTTGTCATGAGCTTGACTCAGATTGTCAGAGTTGGGAGGTACATAAAACCCCCTAGTTTTGAGTTTTGTAGGAGAACTATAAGTTTGTCTGGGTTGTTTATTGGTCAAGTGAAAGAGTTATTAGTATATAGCGCATGCTCGTGATGGTTTCCTAATTGCTTTAATGGGTAATGATTATTTCTGTTGTGGGTGAATATGGTCACTCATTGTGTTATGGTTTTGATCATGGGCCTTTGATATGGAGAGAGAGGGATTAATAGTTATGATTTTTGCGAGAGTGATTTTGAAGGACTGTTCATTTCTCATTGGTTCTGCTTTGTGTTTCATTTGTCTATTATTTGCAAAGCTCATTGTTGAGGTTGTTGTTGTTGTTCTGATTTTTTTTTGTCATCTTAGGTACTTTCCCTCCTCTTTGTTTTCTTTTAGTTTTTTGATTCACATTGCATTCAAGTGTGTTTGAATGGGGAGGAGGCATTTGGTGTTGTCTTTTGAGGATAATGACTATTTTAACATTAGGATGAGGTTGCTTGTTGAGAGTGATGTTTGCACTAACTGTGGGGGTACGTCTGGTGTGGATGATGCAGGGGTGGTTACTACTAGCATGGTTCAACAACTGGTAATGACAGAGCCTATTTTTGTTAAGGTTGAAGAGGTTGTGTAGTGGCAACCAGAGGACATGGGTGACGCTAAGGGTAAAAATCCTTTTGATAAAGAGGGTTACGAGTATGTGAAGAGTGAGGTGGATTGATAGTTGTGCTTTGTCCACAACGTGTGACTCTCATTTTGTTCAAAGTTTTTTCTTGTGTTGAGGACGATCGGGTATACTTGAGCAAGGAAATGACCCTCACTCATTCATGTATATGTACCGATGTGTCCTTTAGGATATTAGGGTTATAGTGTCATTTAGTGATTTGGAATGTTGCACCAAGCTAGCTTCATTTGAAAAATTGGGATTTCTAAGAGCCTTTAAAGTGTTGTGTACATACATTGGGATACTATTGCCAAGTTTATGTTCTTTTATCAAACGAAAGTGGGCCTGCCTAATAAGCTAGATTTCATTGAATGGGTGGAATATGATGGTTTTGTTAGCCTCTTTGCCTAGTCATTCAAGAGTTTCAAGAGCGATTATGTCCGTATAGAGGCAACTACTGGCCATGAAAGGAAGAATTTTGTGTTTCAGGGGTTGGATGGGGTAGCTAAATTTCCTTGGTATTGGAGAGAGAATCCCCATAGATTCAGTGGTGAAGGGAAGATGGGAATTATGAAGGCCAATGTTAACAAATGTTTGAAGTTGGTGAAGTTACCTCATCTTTTGGATGTGAAGGTTGTGCTTGCATTATCAAGTGCAGTCAATCTGGACCGAGCTTTGAAGCGTAAGTGTGGTTGTTGTGTTGTATATTCATACACTAGTTGTTTGTGTGTAGGATTGATAGGGAAGAGCATGTGAAAATAGTTGAAAATCAAGTTCAAGGTTGATGGAAAAAAGTAGGAGCCAATGGTTGTGGTTGGGACTGTTGAGGAGGATATGGTGATGCCTCTGGTTAGGAAACGGAAAAATGTTTGTGGTTTTGAGGATCAATGCTTATTTGAAATCACAGCTACCTAAGAAGTTTGACTCAACTAGAAATAATAAGCTGATTGTTGTTATTGCATGAAGGATAAAGTCTCTACTTGCAAAGAAACCAAAAGTGATGATGAGCTAGAGTTAAGGGGAGCTCAAAAAATGTGAAAACTAAGCATGCAAGCTCTAATGCTTGAGTGGTTAAAGGGGAAGTTATTGTTGAGGAAGGGAAGATGACTAGTTTTGTGTTAGAGCTAGATGTGGTGGTGTTGGATGAGGGGTCGAGACCTTTTGATGTTGTTGACAAGGGGAAAGGCCTCGCACATCCTTAGGGGTGGTTGAATTAGAGGACTAGTCTTGGTGAAGGGTCAACCTACTCTAAGGAGGAAGCATGGGAAATCGTTGTAGGAGCTGTTGGTAAGGAGGCTGGTGGGCCTTTTTTTATTCACAACCACTGATAAAGAGACAAAGGTTAGATCATGTGGTAATCAGTGCTACTGCAAACTATATGTGGAGTGTGGGCAAGTCAAGTTCAGAATGCATCCAAAAAGGTAGCTTGAATGATTTTGACCACCATATGGTATAGAGCGTGGGGTCGCTGGATGGGTTGGATACAGTTGGGTGATGTTGGGACAATCATTGGTTGTGGTTGACTTCTAGAAAGTTAAGTGGGCGAGCAAAAATGTGAGGGCAGAAAGGTACAGGCAAATGCATGTCATGCTAATTTGTAGGTGTTTTTGGCACATGTGGTGCATCAATAAGCCATGATTACCTTCGCTACCATGCTAAAGGCTAGGGATTGGATGGGCAACTATTAGAAAGATTATAGTGTGAGGGTGGTGTGAGAGAGGTCTTGCGTTGCAAGTGTTTTTACTGCTTTGAAAGGGTGTATATAAGAAAAGGAGTGTAAGTTGGAACAACTTGCTATTAAGGACGAGGAGATCAAGCTTTTGAAGATCGAGTTAGAGGTTTTTCATGCTGATAAGGTCGCATCGATTATGACGTGTGCTCACCTCAAAAGTAAGAAGGAGAGGTTGTTAGAAGAGAAGGATGTTTATATGGGTGAGATAACTTAGCTTGTTGCTAAACGAGATGGTTTACTTGTGGACCGTGGCAAGCTTTGTTGATGAGGTAAGTCTTTTTACAGCGGAGCGAGGCATTCTCATAGTAGAGAATAATGATCTAGAAAAGAGGTTAACTGCCATACACGAAGCAATTTATGAAGATCACATAAGGGGTTTTGAAAAGACGACTCAGTAAGTGACATTTTTTGCTCTGGACTTTGCTTACACCGAACTAAACATTGATTTTGATGTAATGGTAAGTTGATGAATGAGGTTGACATCTTAGATGAGGATGATGAAGAGCATGATGAGGGGAAGGTTGAGGCAACTTCTGAGGCACAAATGAGGAAGACCATGTTTGAGAAAGTGGTGGTTGTTAAGAAAAATAAGGAAACATCTACGCCTAAGGAAGGCATGGCTATTGTTGCCTTTGAAGGGACTTTTATTGGGAAATTTCTAGTTGAAGTTCCAATTGTTAATGGGACTTCTTGGTTGAACTGTAGTTGAGTAAAGAAATGGACAATTTTGGAGTTGTTGGGGAGAAGGTGGGGGGGCAGATAGTCAACGACTTTCTTGTTTGAGGATTTGATAGAATTTGATGGTAATTTTTTTATGTAGTTGTCAAACTATATATTTAAATTTGTTGTTTAGGTTTGTAGTGAATGTTTCTTTGTGGATACTATTTTGTTACTCATGTAGTATATGTGTGATGTGCGAAAACATGTATTTATGAGATTCCAAAAACTATTAGGGTGTGAGTGTGTGAGAGTGCATAATTTTTGTGGCCATTTATTTGTTAAGGCACAAGAGTTCATGTGCTCAAAACTCGAAAGTTTGCATGTAAGGTTTGAGAACTCATTTGCTAAGAAATTGTGTTCAAACTTGAAAGTTTGTGCGTATTTGTTAAGGCATTAAAGCTCGTTTGCTCAAAAATCGCATTCAAACTTGGAAGTCCATGTGTATTTGTTAAGGCGTGAGAGTTTGTTTATTTGAAAATTGCATTCAAACTCAAAAGTTTGTCTATATTTGTTAAGGCATGAGAACTCGTTTACTCAAAAATCATGTTCAAAATTGGAAATGGTATTAGTAAAGGGATGACCGCAATGTTCATTGTCGAGTCTTGAGTGACTTTCCTCACCAAGCTGAGATTTTTGCACAATTCGCATATCTTGGGATGACCTAGAAGGAGTGTATTCCTCTATTGTGGAGATGTTGGTTCATGATTGATTGTTGTTATTTTCTTGGCGTACGGTCTATAGTTCTTACTCATAACATGTACAATCAACTTCATAGTGCATGTGAACAACCTCGTGTTGTTGGTAGAGGGTAGTTAGAGCCTATTCATTACGTTTCTACATGGCCTCTGCATTTTAGTAATTCAACATAGGGCATCGCAATAATTGGGTATATGGCAGCGATGGTAACCATGGACTCCACAAGTGGGGTTGTGGTAGATACGGAGGCGAGAATTCATTGTTTACGGATAGAGCCTATGTTGTCATTTGTTGAGGAGATTCCTACCGTGTTGTTATTCATTGTTTGGTTTTGCGTGGAAACCATGTGTGGTCGAAGGATAGTTTCACTTCGATTCCACAATGGGTAGGGGTGGGTATACGAGCTAGCTGATCTTTTAAGGCCCAGCTCGCAAAGCCCATATTTTTAATAGGATAAATAAGTCCGACCTGTAAAATAAATGATCTTATATTAAGGCCTATATTCACGCCGTGAAGCCCGTAGCTAAATGGGGTAAGCTTGCAGGCTCAATTAAAAAAAATTAAAAAACTTCTCTCATTTTTTTTATGTCAAGAATATATAGGGGAGAAATATATATATATATATATATATATATATATATATATATGTATGTATATATATAATTATATTAAAATCTAAACATCAAATAATCTAAAATAAAAAAATTATAAAAGTCTTAACATACAAAGATTTACACATTTAAACTAAAACATTAAAATATTGACATATGAAATTTGTACATTTAATCTAAAACATATTAAGGTAGCAAAAGTGTAATATACTTTAAATATTAAATGTACTAAATTCAATACTTATTACTTATACTTATTTATTAACAAAATACTAAAATCACTCATTATTTAAAATCTTTCGTGAAGTTAGAAGGAAAAAAAATACCTCTCTTAAAGGGCTAGCCCGTAGGGTTCGTGGATAAAGTCCGCGAAATCCATGAGCTTCACAGGTTTGGCTTAATTTTTTCTATAATTATGCGAATTTTTTTTTTAAAAAAATAGGCTCGTTAACCGTGTAGTCGTGGGTTTCACAGATCAGCCTACAGGCTTGAGCCCATATACCCACCCCTAACGGTGGGTGCCAAATATTCTTATTAAAATTTGCAAGTGCTCTAACGATGGGGATGACATCTTTGTTGCTCCAATATTCATGATGGTGGAGGGATATATACCTTGCAAAGATACTCCAATGCTCAAGTTAGAAGAGAGTTTAGGTAATAATATTATGGCTTTAGTGATACTTGATGCCTCGTATATAAGTAGTCTATAATGTTGCTTGATTTCAAGAGACAATCGTGCATATCTTCTTGTGATTGTGAGTAGTATTTAATGAACCTTTGAACTATTGTCCTTTAATATGTTCCAAGATTCTAAGAGATATGGTATGGAGATTGTTCTTGTAAGTTGTGTTTTGAAATGTGACGAGTTAATGGGGTTGCTCGATCAATTCGAGCTCATTGTGAGCTCAACTCGGATTGTCCAAACTTAGAAGTACAAAAACTATGAAATACAACTGATTTTTGAATTTAAAAGGAGCTATAAATAAAAATCTTGTGAAAGAAATATCTCATAAACAACTAAATAATAATAATATAAAATTATATTTTTTGACATTTTTATTTTTCACAATATCTATAACACATTTATTTTAAACATCAATTACATTTGATAGTTTTCATATAACTGTACTTATAAAAAAAATCCACTATTATTCAATCATTCATTTATTTTCATGTGAAAGGTGTACTCGTGGGACCTCTAGACGCTGACAAAACATTAAAAACATACATGGATAAAGTTTATAAGGTTGACATAGTAGACGAAGGTAAACTTCCTACAACTATCTCATAATGCTATAACTCTAATGAACTATATACACATGATAAGTGAATTAATTCATCTGATGAACTCGTAGCTTTTAATTAATTCCCTCTTCCTTTTATCTTGTATATATGATACATAATAATTAGGTATATATTTTGTTTAAAATTATATAGATTTTATTACTGAATAATAAAAAGTATTAGACTATTAGTTCATTTAGTTTTGCGACATTTTCCTAGCTATTGTGTTTTGCTATATTATTATTATTTTTAACTTTTTTATGTCTTTGTTAAGTATATTATTTCTTTTATATACAAAACATATACATGAAGTACACGTACACATATACATCAGTTAATATCTATTTACGTGATATCAAATTAATGAAATGACATATTTAATATTTTTTTTATAAAATATAAATTTAACTAATCTAACTATTGTATTTGATGATATTAAGTTTTAAATGATCATGCATATTAAATTTCAAATGATTTAAACTCTTCTAAATATATTATCTAACAATAGATATTTATATATATTTTAAAAAAATTTATATATTAAAATAAAATAATATAATCAACTATCAAATAAATTTTAAAATTAAACATGAAATGAAATGAAATTGCCGTGTCATGATTTTGTTTTCACAATCAAATATGAGAATACATGTTGGCTTATTGCATAGGATACAACATGGAATTACTATTAATTTTGTACCAAACGTAGCATTATATATTTGCAAAATCATATCCTTGTCATAGTGATTGGAGAATATAAAAGTAGTAAGGGTTAATCTTTTACGGAATTCAAATCCTTTTAGCTCTACTCTTAACATTTTTAATTGAAATATTTTATTAGAAAATTAAAAAATAGATAGTGGACTTTCTTCAACAACCCCATTTTAGTGCACTTAATTTGGATTGATACTTGATATTACATTTAGTCATGAGTTGAGTTGTATTATTCTAGTGCATATAGAAGATGAAGGGAAAGCAAAGTGTGCCCGTTTTGTTAAGTTTGAAAAGCGCGTTCGATTAGCATTCAAAAGTTTTTTCCTCTCACAAGTGGGTGTTACCGCACAAGGTATGTGTCTCTCCTTTGAACTAATTCTTTAATTGATAGTGTTATTGTCAATTAATATTTTCAAAATATATTGAGTAAATAAATCATATTAATGACAATATTGTGTATACATTTTATACAACATCTAATAACAAATCATTATGTATAAAAATAAGTTTGTTCAATCATTATCTTAAAAATTATGCCCGTCATAATTAATTATTAATGAACAGTATAAAACATTTTATACTGACTAAATAAATATACTCATTTTTTATCTATTTTATTAATATCATTTGTCTTATCTAACGGGTTTAATTGTCACAACTTCTCTTACCCTCCTCTGTGCATGTACTTAATTACCTTTATTCAAGACTCGAAAACAATAAAAAGGATCAAACAAAAGCACTCATGGAGTCGTCAGTTATTGGATATTTTTATGAAAAACCCTTACGAGTCGTACATGGGAATTACTGGAGGTCAACCGTATCAGCCCTACACTCCCCTACACCAGTTACAAAGTAAGCAGTAAATCACTTCAGTTACATATTTTAAGCACTATAACACACAGATTTTGTCAAACATTTAAAAACTATTACTTAATTATATTATATATAAATGCTTTTAATTTATTTTTGCTACATATTATGAAATGTTGTGCATATTCATGTTGCCAAATATTTTTAATATTTTTATATAATTAAACAAAAATTTTCTTGTAATATTTTAATGATGTTATTAAGTTTTTGTTAACTTTATAAAATAATAATTAATTTTAATTTAGATATTGTTATCAATTATTATATTTTATGTCTCTTAAACTTCTAGGAGTTCTTCAAGAGAAGAATTGAAGAAAGACATTCTTAATTAGTCACCACTAATTATATATCCAATATCAAAGTTAATTTATCTTAAGTATAACTATATAATTATATATATTCTTTATGAATCATTCATTTATTCGATGTGAGACTTTAATTATAGGTAATAATAAGATACGGGAGAAATTTTATTTTTTTTTACTCGATGTGAAACTTTGATTTTAGAAGCCATTAAAAAGAATAATATTGAAATAAAAAAAATGTTACTAATTTGTAGTAACATTTTTTAAAAAAAATGCAAAATTAACCTATGTAAAATTTTTTTATTCGATATGATACTTTAATTTTAAAAATAATTAAAAAAATAATATTAAAATAAAAATGTTACTGTATGTATAATAATGTTATTAAAAAAATGTTGTATAATATATAATCTATTTATTCAATATATAGTAACAATATTTTAACAAACATAACGAGGAAAATGTTTTTAAAGAATTAAAATATATTATTGATAATATAGT